TTTTTTAAAGAGAGAGAGAGAGAGAGAGAGAGAGAGAGAATTTTTTAATATTTATTTTTCAGTGGACACAACATCTTTATTTGTATGTGGTGCTGAGGATCGAACCCAGCGCCCCGCCCATGCCAGGCGAGCGCATTACCGCTTGAGCCACATCCCCATCCCATCACCAGCAGCTTTTTAATGTAAAATATTCTGCGTAACATTTTTGCTTAGCCTGAATGCTTCCGTTTCCTGGGTGCTCTTAACTATCCTTTGAATGTCATTTTTTTCCCCCAGTATAATTTTGCCCTTGTGTGTCTTTACATGAGTTTTGTTTTTTAGAGCCTTGCTCTTTATTCTCCAAATTTTTTCCAATTTCTTATTTGTAAAAATTTTCTCTCTCTCTTTTTTTTTAAATCATCATTTTCTATTTGGGATCTATCTATCTATCTATCTATCTATCTATCTATCTATCTATCTATTTATCTATCTCAGGGGAAGGTCCCCTGCTCCTCTTCCGGCTTGAGCTAGGAGCGTGTGCCGTGGCTGTCATTTGTAGTTCCTAGCCGTGGGACAATGAACAGAGAAAACTGTAAGGCGTGCTGACCTGGCTGAGCCCTCTCTGCTCGGGAGTGAACACGGAGGCTGTGTTTACCCTGCTGCTTCATAGGCATCCGCCTCTGTAAAATTACGTGCTCTTGGCAGGGGCCACTTGTAACTCACACGCAGGCAAACTGGCACCAGAGCCCGCTCAATTAGTCTCGAGACTCTCTTGTGGAATTAATTAATAATTAATTCCAAGTCCCACACGATCTCTTTTCCTTTAATTTCCTTATTCCCTTTATATTTCTTTGTTCTCCAAAATACACATTGATCTTTCCTAATGACCATCCTGCATTTTCACTTCTTCCAAATTACCTTTTACCCCTCTTCTGGTTGTTACAGCTTTGCCCTTGGCCCTGAAGGCCCTTTCCTGTTTTTTTTTTTTTTTGCATATTTTGAATTTTATCTTTCCATCTATTTATGACTGCTCCTGAGATCTGCATGGACCATCTGCCTACACCTGACCTTGCTATCTTCATAATTAACCTTGACCATTGATTCCTTAGGAATTGTCCCACTGGCTCTGCATGCAGCCAGGAAGTTCCCCTGTTCCCGTTGCCTCTTCAATTTCTCCCCCAGCTCTAGAAGTGAGCACCATCATGTCAGCACAGCCCAGAGGATCTGGACTCCTGGGAATTCAAGAGTGGGAATGAGGCCCCCAAACTATTCTGTTTCCAAGAGACAAATGTTGCTGTTGCTTGTTGAATGTTGCTTATTGCTGTTTTATGTTTTTATACATGCTCATCATATGTGTCCCATACTAAAAATAGGAAATATTCCATAATAAATGCAGTTTGTTTAGTAGACAGAATCTTTTAAAACATGCTACCCAGAGGGGAAAAACAAGAAGAGGGACCATAGATGGGGAAAGCTGAAAACCACACAAGCCACAGCGCTGTCGTCTGCTCAGCCACTGGCCTGGCTCTCCATATTTTGCATGAGATTAAAGAGAAAATCATGGCTTGTTCCATCAAAAGCATTTTCTTGGTCTAAATTTAATTAACATCCTCCCCAATTTCTCCTATTGACATGTTCTATCATCTGTCTTGGATGGAATGTGCCCTGGGATTCCAGGGTGTGCCACTTTTAAGTAAAGAGCCAGCTGTTTGGTGAATCTGATATTCTTAAGAACATTTGCAACCTAAAAATAGCTTGCAACTGGTGTTTAATAATGTCAATACCCTGGAATCATAAAATCCTTCCTCTCATGATTTTAAACAGGAGTCTTTTTTTTTTTTGGTTTTGGTTGGAAAGAACATAGAAGTCTGTAGAACAAGACGGAAAGCCTGGTTTTGCTGTTTACCAGCAATGAGATCTTGTCGTCTGTGAGTCTTATGATGATCATCCTCAAACATGGATATAAAATCCTCCATAATTCACAGGGTTTTCCAAAGCACAGATGACTCCCAGTTTATGAGCCATGCTACCTTTGACATCAATGTCGCATTACCTCTCTGTCACATCACAGAGAGCTGCTCAGAGTCCTCCTGGGCCTCATGAGCTTTGCTGTGAGCTGAACAGACCTGGAAGACTTGCTTCTTGAGTACCTTGATCCTGTCATCTCCTCCTTGAATGATGACGTCTGCCCTGAAACCATTCATTGTATCACTCTTCAGATGAAACCCTGGACTTATCTGAGCTCCTTGGACTCATTCAGTAATTCACTTGTTCCTATGACAGTCATATGGTTGTTCTTTGATTTCATCTAGATTCTTCTATGTGCAACAGGGGTACGAGTCCTTGGTAGTCATTATGACAATCAGAGTCTAGCCATTGCTTTGTCCCCAGATCCCCAGGTGAAATTGAGCAGGTCTTTCTCTGGGCCTCTTTTCAATCATCTGGAAATGAGGGACTGCATGGGTCAGTTCTAAATAGCCTTTCAGTTCTGACATTCTTGCTCCTTTTTAATGCCCAGACAAAAATCTTGCCCAGTGCCATCCTTTCTCCCTGCTTTAGTATCCATGGACAATTACAATAATGATTTCATTATTGTGCCACTCTCAAGACACTATGCCCCTGATGACTCACTTGGGCATCTAGAGCTTTCTCTTCTTGGAGGCAAACAACCCAACTTTCATTAAACTTCCCTTGAAAGATCTTTCTATCGATGCATCCCATCATTTTTTATTACTCTCTTCTGAACTTGATCTAGGTTTTCTCCAATCTTTCAAATGCATGGATGCTAAACCCAAGGAGCCAACAGGAATTCTGACAGATCAAGGAGGACAGCCATCACATTGTGAGAACTAGGTCACCTCTCTCCCTTTTCCAGTATATCCCCAAGGAAGGGAAGGACCAGGGAGATCCCAAAGTCCATGACCAGGCAGAGCTCTTGAGCATGACCAAGCTCTTTCACACTGGCCAGACCTTTCCCAATCGACATATGGATTTGCCTCCCTTCCCTCTATGGGTAATTCTGGAAAGCATCAGAGACTTTCCTGACCCTTTAAATCACTTTTGAAAACTGAATTTGGTCCAGTCACTTGTCTTCTACAAACGTGTACTCTAATGTCCCTGGTTACCTTTCATACTTTTCTATGTGGCTTCTTAGCCACCGTGCCCCTATGACTCTCTCTCCCTAAATACCTGGACTCTCCACCCACACCTAACACGAAGCAAAGCCTTTGCTCCATCCCCCACCTCAGCTTCTCTCCTGACCCTAGAACACAAACCACTCCAGATGCAGAGCCACATGATTAATTAAAAGCACCCCACGCTGATTAAAGTCTTCAGCTTCAGTGCTAGGCATGCTAATTAACGGAGTGAGGGAATTCAGACCACAGGAAGAGGCAAAAAAACAAAGTCATGACGGGGTGGGTGGTGGCAGACTTCTGTTTTGGAGAATAAATCACATATCGATGTGACCTGAGCTATCACGATGATAGATGGTTTCAGAGACCACAAAAGATTGAGGTCCGTCCCCTGGCCATTGGACTCCAGGAGAGGTGTTGATTGATGTGGCTACAATATCACCCTCAATACTTCCAGAGATGGGAGCCCTACCACCTCTTAGAACTTCCATGTGTGCCTCCACTGTGCTAGGGGAGAACGTGGTCCCTGGGTGGGGTCTATACATAGTTGTCTTGGAACATTGTCCCAATTTTGTGCAAAAATTCATCAAACAATATGGCAGCAATTTCACCTCCAGGTACATACTCAGAACCAAAAGCAGGTCTCATAGCACGTTTGCATAGCCAAGTTCACAGCAGAATTACTCACAGTAGCCAAAAGGTAGAAGCAAGCCAAGTGTCCATCAACAGAAGAATGGATAATGATAACGTGGTGTACATAGAAGTCGAATATTAACCAGCCTTAAAACGGAAGGAAGTTCTAGATGAACCTTGAAGACCTAATGCTAAGTGAAATCAGTCAAACACAAGAGGACAAATATATGGCTCAACTTATCGAGGTCCTTAGAGTAGCCAGATTCATGGAAGGAAAATGGGGCTGGAGGGAGGGAGGAGACAGTTCCTGTCCAGTGGGTACGGAGTTTCATTTTGGAAAGAAGAAATATCAGGAGACACACGGCAGTGATGCCTGTATGGCACTGGGAATGTCTGCAATGCCACGGAGCTCAGAAACAGTTAACACGGTCAGTTTCATGTTATGTATATTTCACCACCATAAAAAAATTAAAATAGCGACCTTTTGAAAGGGCTGTGGCAAGTGATCTC